AAATATTGTAAGTACTTGAATTCAGCAAATTAACCCCATATAATCCAATAGTCCATAATAGTAGTGAGCTACCAGCGTAACTGGCAATTGTCCAAAGTTGTTGACTTGAGCCTTTTACAGCTTAGCATATTAATATACTGTTACTTTTTATACTTCATGGTTACACTTTTCTGCTGGATAGTTAAGACCAAGTTAAAGCAAGGCCTATATAACTCAAAATGTAACTTTTGCTATCTGACAAGGGCCAGTCAAATCCCCTCAGGATTTACCCTGGAACCATGTATAGCACCTTGTAGATCCTTTGTCAGTGTCAGTCATCTAGATGAGTCACAGCCATTGCTTGAATAATTTGCTCTCTGTGAAAGCCTGAGAGAATTTTTTCTGTCTAGGTGACTCTCCTTAGGCACACTATGCATCATTGATCACTTTCCTCTGTGGCCCCATAATCTCCTTGATCAGAAAATTTGGGACACCACTTAGTTATAGGATGTCACAGCAGAGGTTCTCTTATGTCCTGAGTCCTCACTGACCTTGAAGGGCTACAGCCAAAATATTGGCTATTTTTGTAGCCCATCTAGCGGTCTAATTTTTGGACTGCAAACTTTAGTGAATAAGCATCCAGAAGAGAAGCTTACTGATATTATTATCCTATAACAAGATTTTCTCCAAATTTGTGGGTTGTCTTTTCCTTGTTGGTAATTTCTTTTGACATACAGAAACTTCTCAATAAGAGAAGGTCCCAGTTGCTAATTCCTTGAAGTATATCCCATGCAGTTTGATTTTTGTCCATGAATTGTTTGTCTACCCCTTCTATGTCTTTTAAGATTTCCACCTACTTTCTCTTTCAGGAGATTTAGTGTTTCTGTTTTAATGTTTAGATCTTTAATCTACTTTGAGTTTAGTTTAGTGCATGGTGATAGACTGGGTCAAGTTTTCGGGGGGTTTTTTCGGTATTTTTAGGGAACGGTCTATAGGATGTTCAAGGTCTCATTACTAGATCAGACGCCTAGTGACTCTCCTCTTTACAACCTCCTAAGTTATGGGATTACAGATGTGCACAACCAATCCCAGTCTCAATCACCAGCTCAACATACCCCGGGGGGGGGGGGGTAACAGGCAAAGCAGGCCCAGGGATTGAAGTCCTAGCCCCTGTGCCTGCTTGCAGGTACTTTAATCCACTGAACTATTTGACCAGCTCAAGTTTTTCCAGCATCACTTGTTAAAGAGGCTATCTTTCTTCCAGTAAGCATGTTTGGCTCCTTTGTCGAAGATAAGATGGCTGAGTGTGTTCATAGAGGCCTCTGCATCTTCTAATCTATTCTACTGATCCTCAGGTCTTCTTTTTGCCAATATCATACTGATTTTATCACAGTAGTTTTGTAGCATAATATCAAGTCAGGCATTGTAATGCCTCATGCCTGGCCTTTGTTGCCCAGGATTGCCTTGGCTATTCTAGGTTTCTTCTGGTTCCAAATAAATTTTAGGAATGATTTCCCTAGGTCTGTGAGGTAAGTTGTGGTATTTTGATAGGGAGTGCATTAAATCTGTATAGCAATTTTGGGAGTATGCCCATATTCACAGTATTGGTTCTTCCTAGCCAGGAGCACAGAATATCTTTTGATGTTGTGACATTCTCTACGATCTCTTTTTCCAGAGTACTGTAATTTTCACTGAACAGATCTTTTACTTCTTTAGTTAGACTAATTCCTAAATATTTCATTTTCCACACTGCTATTGCAAAAGGTATCCTGTCTCTAATTTCTCTCTCAGGGGGTTTGTTGTCTCTCTAGAGGAATGCTACTGACTTTTAGGTATTGACTTTGTATCCTGCTATGTTACTGAATTTGTGTATTAATTCTAGTAGCTTCTTGGGCCGGGGCTACTAGTGGAATAAGCCCTTGCCTGGCAAGCACAGGCTCCTGAGTTCAATTCCCTGGTACCGAAAAAAAATCTAATAACTCTAGTAGCTTCTTGGTGGAGTTTTTTGGGTCTTCCAAGTAGAGTATCATGTCATCAGCAAATAATGATAGTTTAACTTTCTTTTATTTCTCTCTCTTGTCTAATGGCTCTAGCTAATGATTCCAGAACGATATTGAATAGGAGTAGTGACAGAGGACATCCTTGTCTTGTACCAGATCTGAGAGTAAAAGGTTTCAGGTTTTTTCCATTTAGAATTATGTTAGCAGTTGGATTGTCATAGATGGCTTTTATCAGATTGAGGTAGAAGCCTTCTATTCTAATTTTCTGTAGGACTTTGAACATGAATGAGTGCTGGACTTGTTTAAAAGCCTTTTCTGCATCAACTGAGATGATCATGTGGTTTTTGGATTTTGCTCTAATGATATAGTGTGTTACATTTATAGATTTGCATATATCGAACCATCCTTGCATCCCTGGGATGAATCCTACTTGGTCATGGTGTATGATCTTCTTGATGATTTGCTGTATTTCATTTGCTAGGATTTTAATGAGGATTTCTGCATCTATGTTCTCGAGGGAAATTGGCCTGTAGCTTTCTAGTTGTGTCTTTCCCTGGTATTGGTAACAGTATAATACTTGCATCTAGGAATGATTTTGGGAGAATTGTTGCCTTTTCAATTTCATTGAAAAGTTTGAGGAGTGTAGGGATTATATCTTCTGTAAATTTCTTGTAGAATTCAGCTGTGACTCCATCAGGACCTGGAGTTTTCTTTGTCAGTTAAGTTTTTTATTACATTTTGTGTTTCACTGGCTGTTATTGGGTTATTGAGAGTTGTTATATCTTCTTGATTCAGTTTTGGTAATTTGTACCTTTCTAGGAATCTGTTCATTTCTTTTGTGTCTCCGATTCTGTAAAAGTAAAGATTCTCAAAACAGCTATTGATGATCTTCTGAATTTCCACAGGGTCAGTGGTAATTACACCCTGTTCATTCCTTATTGCTTGAATTTGAGCTTTTTCTTTCCTGTTTTTGATGAGGTTAGCTAGGGGCTTATCAATTTTATTTAATCTTTCACAGAACCAGCTTTTTTTTGAATTTTAAAAAATCATTTTATTTCAGAAAGTTTGACACTTATTTTTAATAATTTTATTGAGAAACAAATAACAATGAGATAGTTTCAAAACTGATTAGTAGGACAGTTTCAATACTTAATACACTGCATATTGATGTCTTAGTCATTACTCATTGTACAAGATGCAGACATGATATTCTGTCCACAAACACTATTAGAACAAATCTTTCTATTCATTGAATTGAGAGAATGTAGCTGTATATCTATCATAACTATTTTGAATATACAGATACAAAATGGTGGTTCATCTGTAGCCGCTTTTTTTGTTTACTTTTGTCAGACAAGGGTATTCTGTTGTCATTTAAATATAGGTGTGTGAGCTCAGGAAAATATTCCAATATAGTCCAGTAGTCCATAATAGTAGTGGGTTTTCTGTAAGACTGGCAGTGTGAGAAGTTGTTGACTTGAGCCTTATATAGCTCAGCATATTAATATGGCTTTACTTTTTATACTTCGTTTTTATACATTTCTGCTGGATGGTTAAGACCAAGATAAAGCAAAACGTATATAACAAGAAATGTAGCTTTTGTATCTTATAAGGTCAGTCAAATCCCCTCAGGATTTATCCTGAAACCCTGTACTGCAGTTTGTAGATCCTTTGTCAGTGTCAGCCATGTGGATGACTCACAGCCATTGCTTGAATAATTTGCTCTTTATGCAAGCTCTCTCCATGTGACTCTCCTTAGGCACACTCTACATCATCAACCACTTTCCTCTGTGGCCTTATCATCTCCTTGATCAGAAAATTTGGGACACAACTGAGTTACAGGATGTCACAGTACAGGTTCTCCTATGAAAAACAGCTTTTTGATTCACTAATTCTTTGTATTGTTTTCTTTGTTTCGATTGCATTAATTTCTGCTCTAATCTTTATAATTTCCTTCCATCTTTGGGCTTTGGATTTGGTTTGCTCTTCTTTTACTAGACATCTAAGGTGCAACATTACAGTATTTATTTGTTCCCATTCTATTATCCTAATGTGTGAGTTCACAGCTATACATTTTCCTCTAAGAACTGCTTTCATTGCATCCCATAAATTCCAGTAAGTTGTGCTTGAATTTTCATTGAGTTGTAGATATTGTTTAATTTCATCTGTAACACATTAGTTGCTGAGCAGGGACAACACACCTTATTTTAATGCTTTTTAATATACTCCCCCTTGCCCGGAGTCAGTTTCTGTAGCCAGAATTAAACTTTCTACTTGAATTTCTACTGATATAACCATATTGCTGTGGCTTCTGCTCATACATTTTCACATTCCTAGCTCAGTAACATCAACTTTAAACATCTCATACTCTGAGTTCAACAGCCCATGCAACACAACAAACCAAGGTGAACCTGGGTATGGATACTCTCATCAAACAGAGGCAACCATTACCTGCATAAAGTAATGGAGCCATATAGATGATAATCATATTACTTTTTACCTGTTCGGAATTCTTTTAAGGGAAGAACAAAGAAGTAAATATAAACTTGGAGAGAAAAAAACAATGGAAGGTAAAAGTCATTAGATTTGCCACACTGGATTTCAACACACTAAAAGAAACTGAGCTATACTTCTACTGATTTTGATTATGTCCAATAATCCATTTTGATGAGGGGGATAAAAATATTTTTAGCTGAAAAGAGTGATGCTTATTTTATAGCATTTTAGACCCTAGAATTTGACATAGAACTGTGTTTTCCCTTGTTTTACGTTTTACTTGTATCTGTCTTGTCCTGTCAGCAAAAATAATCTACGATTACATAAACATTCTTTTACACATACCTGTGAAGTGTCCAACCCGGGCTGTGAGAGGCCAAGGACTACCCCACCTAACATGTACATATGTACCAGGCAAACAGCTGCAAGCTGGCCTTACATATCAGTCCAGACTTTTTCTTGTACATACAGTAACATATATTAGTAATAAGCATATTTTTAAATGGGAAGGATTCCACCACTTACCAAAATAAGTCCTGATATTAGCGAGGAAGTGCCTGTCAGGGCCACATAGAACTTCGGTGTTAATGTGTTCAAAAACATGCTCACTGGAAGAAACAAAAATGAGAACAAAAAATGTGTGAGTGTGTAAGTAAAACAATCCTTTCATTTCTTTTCTGGTGAAATCATTCTTTTCTGACAAGAGTTTTTAGAACTATAGCAAAGTCCTATTAAAATGATTAACTAAAAGAAAAAAATGATTATTATTATACAAGCTCAAAAACTAGATGTCATTATATACATTAGAAGAAAATAAGGTATGTATAAGGAAAAAGAGCAGCTTTTCAGTTTCTAACTCTTGAATAGTTTAATAAATACACAATCCCTGAAGGGTTTAATCATATATTCACTGGTAGGTACCTTCCATGATCAATTCCCATCACTCTGATCATATCAACTTTATAGTTAACAGGGTAATTATGTATCTTATGAATTTAAGAAACTATCAGTCACAAAGAGTAAGTCCTCCTACATGTGTTTTCTAATGTATATTGTAATGAACCAATAAGCAGTATTTCAACCTTACAACAAATGGAAAACAACTATACAACTATCAAGTATTACTATACTATGGCGACCCTAAGAAAAAGAATTGGCACAAATCTGCATGTAACATTAAGGTAGAACACTCATCAAAATAACTGGACTAAATGAAGGAAAAAAGGCTAAATACCACGTATTGTGGTTCATATTTTCAATCCCAAGCTCCCTCAGAAGCTGAGGCAAGAGGATCACAAGTTCAAGTTCAGCCTGAGCAACTTAGGGATTTATTAAGATCTTGTCTCAAAATACAAATTAAAGAAGGCCTGGAGATGTAGCTCAGTGTGAAGGCCCTGAGTTCAAATCAATTCCCAGTACCATGAAAATAAATAAACAAACGACTAAAAATAACTATTTTCTGTCAGGTACCTTCCTGATCAATTGCCTGGTCATATCAACCAACAATAGCTTCAGCGGGCTTTTTGGAAGGACATTTATAATTCTTTTCTTTCTTTTTTTTTTTTGCAGTACCAGGGATCAAACTCAGGACCTTACACTTATTCCACTGAACTATCTCCCTAGCCCCAGGACATTTATAATTCTTTATTGGACTTGTTTGTAAGAGGGAATCATATCCAATCACTTTTTGAATAAAGGTCTTTAGAAACAGCCATCTTGCACTCAGCCAAAAAAATAATGTCACCAAAATGGTCAAAGATTCCATGTGTACCCATTCAACAAATATTTCTCTCTGATTATGAATGTAACCATAAATAATGAATCAGACAGCTCTTAATCTTTAAAAGCCCACAGTGCATTTGGAAAACATACAAGCAAGTTTGATAACTGCACAGAAAAGTGCTATTTATAGAATATATAAACACATACAAGGGATATACCCTAGAGTAGGAGGTCAGGGATGATGTCCAAGAGAAGGGAACATCTCAACTGAGTCCTGAAGAATAGGGTGCAAATAGCCAGACTAAAAGGTGTAGAAGGAGGGATCAGAAGGCGACATGAGCAGAAGACACCTACGTCAAGGTGCAGCCGTGTAAGCACCTAGAGGGGGAGAGGTGCCATTTAATTCATTAGTTGTACAACCTTATTGCCTATTTGGCTAAAAATAGTTGGCAATTCTGGATGTAAAGAGTCACCAGTATTTGTCACTTCAGTCTACTTACTACATTTAGAGTTTGTAATAAAGCATTTTCACATATCAGAGAATTGAGTTCTCGCTTCAACTCCATGATGTCAGGATTATAATTCACCTCATTTCAGTGGAGGCTGGATGAAGATCTGAGCCCAAGTCAGCCTGCCCAGCATGCCCTTGGTATCACATCAGTAGCTTTTCTTTAGAGAGGGAGCTTCGAATAAATGACAATGTCAAACAGACATTTTTAAATATTGCACTTATTTCTATTCCTGACATTTAAAGATAAGTCTGCTGTGACTTTGTCATTTGTGTGTGAAGCACCAGGTTTGAAGGACAGGAAGCTACCCTGAGAAAGAGGAAAATAAGGTACAATATCCTCCATTAAATTAAGAGAGCAGTAAACTGCAGCCTACACTAACCGAAGCCAGAAATAGCTTGCATAGTTTCAGAGTCACTAGGAATAAGTTTTAAAACATGTGGGCTTGACAAAGTACCTAAAAATTGGATCAAGAAATTAAATAGGTTTTTTTTTTTTTTTTTTTTTTTTTTGGCGGAACCGGGAATTGAACTCAGACCTTTGCGCTTGCCAGGGAAGCGCTTATTCCACTGAGCCATCTCCCTGGCCCCTAAATAGGTATTCTTGAAATTTATAATAAGGTATAGCAGTGTTACCTCCGGACCTGTTGAGCTATCCAGAACAGATCCAAATAGCAAATAGGTAAACACTATTAACTTAGATTTGTGGAAAATAAATTCATAAAACTAAAGCACTATTTAAACTCAGAAACCACAACAACAAAAAAATCATAACCAGAAAGCTTTTGATTTGACTCATCAGGGCTCTTCCAGCAGACGCTGCTGGAGAACACTGTGTCAGCTGCTGGAGCGTACTCCCAGGCAGCGCAGCGCAGCGCGGAGTTCTGCAGACAGTGAGTGTTAACCCTGCAGTCTCATCACTTAATTAATGCTTAAAGGTGAAGGAATTCACAGGACCCCAAAAAGAAACTAGGGAAGAGCAGTGGTACTGGATTGAAATTTAAAAGACTTGGGAATTAGATTATAGAAGGCTCACTCAAGAATTACAGGCACGGCTCTGTGAAGTCTGTTGATGAAGAGCTGGCCATGTTTCTGGTTCATATTATCCTTCTTTTGTAATCTGGCATCTTCTATAGTGTGGAAAGCAGAGGAGACCCAGCTAAATGTGTGCATAATAACAGTAGTAGTAGTCACTATCACAGGAACATTTACTGGGCATCTTCTATGTGCAAGCACTATGTTAAAATGTACATACTTGGAGTGTGATTTGTCCTCATACTAAATGTGGATGATCCACAAAATAAGTGTTAGTCAATAAAATGGAGGTTTAACTAGATTATTGCTGCACAAGGTACTGCTAAAGTTGAGGGTGAAATGTGAAGGCAGTCATTCTAAATGCAAAGAAATTACTGTCCTTACAGTTCACCATGTGATACCACACCTGTGACTCTCTTCACTAGATGCTGTGGAATCGATCAATTCATCTAAAGACCACGGTAAAACCACCTGAAATTCTTTCCTTATTTTTCTTCAAGTCCTGTGACTACTGACAATCAGATTAAAGCCTAAACCATAATTTCAAGCATACTAGTTTTAAGTGCAAGAGATGACTACTGCCGACCACAATACCTCTGCCCCAGACACTAGGACAGCAAGGTGGCTAGGAAGTTGTCCAGGCTGTGCAAAGCGACATTTCCAATTCAGTTACAGAAAGCATGCAGAGTGTATTGTCTCTCAAAGGCATATTAAGGCAAGCATCTGTCCAGCAGGAACCTTGTCTCCTGCTTTCCTCCGATGTCCAGAGTGGCAGGAAAAACAATGGAACAGGTTAAGCCACCACTTCAATTTTTCCATGTGAGAAAGGTAATATCCTCTTTTCATTGTTGTTTCAGGCTCACTAACCTCCTTTAACTAATGATGCACATTCACTTCTGCCCTTCTTTGTTTACCAGACAACAGAGAATGAAAACTGAAAGCTTGAATTGCTTCAACAGCACACACACTAATTTTGAACCAATTTCCAGACTACATGGCTTTTATACTTAAGGAATTTACTCTTTTCCTCAAAATGACACTAAGTCAGACAAACCTTCAGGTAACCTGTGATGATCTCCACCCTCCTAATATCGCAACTTTATTTAATCCTTTTTTGTTGAGTGTAGCAAGGACCCAGGACTTGCTTTTAACAAAGAGCCATGAAAGATTCTGGCTGGGCAGCACACAGGGCAGAAGTACATCCTGCTAGCTGAATGTGGGGCTACGCCGGGCAAAGCCTGTGGCGACGCCCTGCAGACAGCCCCTCCAGCAGCCAGGAAGAAGCAGAAGTCCTCAGCTCCACAGCTTTCATTTCTGCAAAAGCTTCAGTAAGTCCAGGCTGAATATGCAGTCTGAAAGTGCAGCCTAGTCAGTGCCTCCGCTGTGTCCTTCTGACTGCTAACACACGGTACCCAACACCCTCGGCGCGAAAAAGGTAAGCTTTATTTTGGATCACAGTTGGTAGAGATTTCAGTCCGTGTCAGCAGGCAACAAGGCCTGTTGGCATGACAGAGGGGCATGGCACAGGAGGAAGAGCACACGGCATGACAGCAGGAAGCAGAGAGATCAAGGGAGGAGGAAGGGAGATACACTCTTGTACGTCACTCCCCCAGGGACCCCACCTCCTACGAACAGGTTCACCTCCCAAATTACATTTAGCTATGAATTCATCAGCAGACTAATCCTCTGCTGAATATCACACCCCAGGATCTAATCACCTTCCGAGACTCCCACCTCTGAGCCAGCACATACGGCTTTATGGGACATCTAGATGCAAACCATAACTCCATGTGAAACCAGGAAAACGTCACACCTAAGTCATTCACAGAAACTATGAGATAAATTCTGTGTGTGCTTCCGTTGGGAGCCATGGAAAATTGGTCAAATGTGTGAAAGCAGGACTAGGCCTCAGTGCCGAAAGCAGACAAACTATCTCAGTCCTGAGACAAGCACACTGACTGGTTAATGTCGGCTTTAGTCACTATGCAATCTTGTGTTATGTGTTACTAACTTTGCAAAGACATAAATAAACACCCATACTGTTGGGGGGCGGGGGCATTTCACCAACCAGGCAGACAAGTCACCACCTAACTGAGCTCTTGTCTTCTTGTCTATCTTTCCTTCATTTCTGCTGCAGTTTCTCCCCAGGTACAACGGACTACACTGAGAGACCACTGAGATCCCTATATAGCAGTATAAAACTGATGCGACCATTAACATAATTCATAAAAACGAATGTCACCATGAATACTTAATAATGCAGCACACCTGAAGGACTACTAAGAAAAGCCAAATCTATGTGCATTAAGAGCTTCTTTCTCAATTATTCAAAAATAAAATGTA